CCTCTCCTTCTCATGGGAGTAGTTACGTGACCTCATGTAACTACTCAAAACTTACACAGGGTCTCATCTCCTCCTGGCATCAAGGAGAAAGAGCTCCCCAGCCAAGAACTTGGAACTCCATTTGACAGACAGCACTCCCTTTTAACATTGGAGCAGCCCCCAGAAATCTCGTGAAATAAAGACTGTTTGTTTAACAGATGACAAACTGTCCACGGCCCCCCAGTTGCCAGAAAAGCTGTTGCTTGTCTTAATTCTCATTAATGATCAGCCATCTGCCTCAGGCACCTGTTAGTATCTTCTCCTCCTTTCTCTGAGTTCTGATCTCTCTAGAACTTCTAACAGCCCTGATGGTTTGTGATTTCTCCATAAGCCGCTTAGACTCTGGGGTGGTCCTCAGCCATTTCAATTTCTTGGGTGAAATTGACAAGCGCTCAATCAGCAAGTGTTGAGTGGGTTTCTAGTAGGAACCAAGCACTCCCTGGAACTGATGAGAACACGAAAGAACAAAAGACCAGCTCAGAAGCCCACAGCCCCATTGAGCCGACAAGCCTGGAGTTCAGAACAACAGAGAATGAGCTAGAGCTGCAGGGACTCCAAGGAGGGAAAGGTCAGGACCTCCTTTGTGGGTTCGTTGATTGACCTCTGGACACGGGCTAGAAGGGTTAGGGTTGGAATTTCCATGAACTCTCCAGACCACTGGCACTGCCCCCTGTGCTGCATTAACACTATTCTCAGGTCACCTGACCTTCAGGTATCCCATTGCACAGACGTTTTCACACCTGTCCTCAGCAGCCCTCTCCTTTGGGTCATCCTCTTCTCCCTGTCTATGGACCCACTGTGTCCTGACTTTTCTCCTCCTCCAACTCCTTCCTAGATCTCCTTTCCTGCCAACTCTATGTGATGGAATGCCCCAGGGCTCAGCCCTAACCCCCATCTCTCTATATACTTTATCCCTAGGCTATGTCACCCAGACCTGAGACTTTGACAACCATGCACATTCTGGTATCTCCCAAATGAACATCTTTGGCCCTGACCTCTCCCTTGACCTCCATATATATACACAACCTCTCCATGTGCACAGGCAAGCCCACAGGAAGCTCTGATACTGGGATGGCCTTTCAGAGGTGTGCCAAATCTGAGACTTGGTGGGGATAGCTTACCTCTGGCTCCCTCCATGTGGCTTTAGCTGGGGTGGTTCAAAGGAGGAGAGGCTGGGGTTATCAGAAGGCTCCCATGCTTGCATATCTGACAACCAATGCTGGCTCTAAGAACCTCGGCCAGGACTGTTAGCCAGAACACCTACAAGTGACCTCTCCAAGGGGCTGCTTGGCAGCCCTGAGGCACAATGGCAGGGTTTCAGTGGCAAACACTCCGAGAGAGACCATGACTCTCCTGACCTCATGTAACTACTCAAAATTTAACAGCATCACGTCCACCATCCTCTAATAGTTGAGGAAGTCACAAAGGCTCACCTAAGTTCAAAGATTCTATGTCTTGCTGGGGGCAACGGCAAGACCCTGGAAGAGCAACTGAGATGAGAACTTGTGCAGCCATTTGGGGGAAGAGCCATATACTCCCACATGCAGAATATGCCCACCTTCCCCCCAGTGTTCCATCCCATTTCAACGTCATGTTCAGGCTCAAGGCCCTGGATTTCACCATCTAAGTCAGGTGCAGGTACAGGTAGGCAGCTTCTTGAGCACTATTTCTCTCAATGTAAAGACCATGAAACTCAGAAGGGACATTATCTCCTCCCAACCTCCAACACCCAAGAGAAAAGAGTGGGATGGGCACAGGAGAGCCGATGTAGATACTCTCTGTTTAAAAAGGAGGGGAAGGGGAGGCCCATAGAAACTACTGTCCGTAGCAGTTCTTAAGTCCAGCATGGCACAAGTGGCCTGTTCCATTAGACCCAGCCCTACTGCCTGGGAGTGATTCTCCCAGAATTGCCTCCAGAAGCCAAAGATGCTTGCCATTTGCTGCGATTCATTCCTAATGGTAGGGGAAGCAAATGCAGTCAAGGGCCCTTCCCTCTGCTGAGGACATGCTAACATGCTCCAGACCTCTGGACTCCTAAAAACTTCACTGATCCGGTGTGTCCTTGAATATTCACAGTGCTAATCTCCCACCTGCTAGAGCACAAGTGTCTTTATGAAGACCTCCAATTTACATGTCTCTGCTCTGATTAACATGACATCGTGGATACAGTGGATCACTGTGGATTCTGTGAAGGGCCTGTATAGTCCAGGCCCTCCGGGGCTATGTTATAACAGAGTGTTAAGGTAGCCCTGGAGAAGACAGTACATGATGGCTACTGTTGTCTGTCACACACGAACATGACCTACTCTGGCCTTCCTTTCTGATAAAACTGGAAAAGGATGCATTTCCTAGCTTAAAAGTTGTATACCTTGTATCTTGAAGCTTGTTAATCTGCTCTGGAAAGGATACCACATCTGGCACAGCATACTCATTGGTGACTAATTCTTGGTTAAGACTGTCATGTGACAGGACCAAATCTAAATTTCGCAGGTGCCAGACTGATGACTTTTATGGGGACATGGTGGAATAACCTCCCCCTGCATTCTTTCGGTCTTTAAGCATGATGCTGAAATACACCATTGCAATATTGCTATTTTGCAATATTGCTATTGACTCACTTTCTTGCCTGGAGAGAGGGAGGCAGGATCACAGGCTTCCACGTGGCCTTCCCCGCTATAATGGTGCCTTATTCCACGGACGAGGACTAAGTTCATCTACCCCAAGTGCCCATTCAGGGACAGGGGAAATGATCACTGGGTGGTCTTAAGGAACCACTGGGCCCACTATGAATCAAACCTGGACCAGGACTCCATTCATTATCTGAACCTCATCCCCCTTCACTCTAGAATGGGACCATGATAACACTCTGGGTCCCCAGCAGCATTGTCAACTTGGATCCCGTGTGCAGCATGTAATTGACTAAGGATTAAATTAATCATCCTCAGCACTCTTACTGCTTTTTGCCAATGCATCAGGGACACTCAGCAATAGCCATTCAATTTCTTCACTTTATCATTTCTGTTTCCCTGTATCTTTCAAATGACTGAGACATTTTGCCACTCGTACTCATGTCAGGGGCATGAGGTCCCTTGATCTAGCTGGCAGGAGATGCAACTCCAAAATCCTATTTTAGGGCCCGCGTCCTTAGGATCGCTCCTGGCACCAACTGCCTTAGTTTGCATGTTTGGGAACCAGTCTCTGTGGTGGAGATCTGTGGAGGGAGGTTCACGGGGAGGTGCCCTCGGGAACACAACAAAGTGCGAGCGCATCAAGGTTGGTTGGGCACAGAGAGATAGGGAACCCTGACAGTCACAACAGGAGCTCAGCTGATGCCATAGGGAGTTTTGAAGCTGGAATGGCCCTTCAAAGTTGTCCCACACTAATGCAAGGGGGTGGGCCTGTGTATTTCGCTGCCAGCTGCCCTGGGGAAGGTGTAGTCTTAAGAGTTAGCTCCCTTCTGGGATGCCTGCGTTGCTCAATCGGTTAAGCATCTGACTCTTGATTTCGGCTCAAGTCATGATCTCAGGATCCTGAGATTGAGCCCCGCATCAGGCTTCATGCTGAGTGTGGACCCTGCTTAAGATCCTCTCTCCCTCTCTCTCTCTCTCTCTCTCTCTGCCCCTCTTGTGCTCTATCTCTCTAAAAAGTAAATTTAAAAAAACATAAAGAGTTATCTCCCTTCTGCCAAGGGCAAGGCCTGGGGACGTACTCTGCTGTGAGTCAGCCAAGACTGAGGGAGCTGGGAGAACGAGAGGGAGATTTGTGTAGCACAGCACAACTCCCACTGCATGCCTCAAGCTTAGCTCTTACGAAATTAAATTCTCAATTTCCTCCCTCTTATAAACTCCTTCCAGAGGTTTCTTCGTCCCAATGGCACCACTATCCACTAATGAGGTGGTTGGGGGGTGGGCTAAATGGGCAGTGAACATTAGGAGGGCACTTGTTGGGATGAGCACTGGGTGTTATATGTAAGTGATGAATCACTAAATTCTACTCCTAAAACCCAGACTACACTGTATGTTAAGTAACTCATATTTAGATAGATGGATGAGTAGATATATACATACATACATACATACATACATGCATAAATACATAGATGATAGATGATAGATTGATAGGTAGATAGTAGATAGATGATAGATAAGAAAAAGAAAAGGCAAAAAAGAAAAAAAAACTTCAAAGTCATCCTTGTTTCCTCAGTTTCCCTTTTTATCCCCAGCCCAGTGCAGCCATAAATACCATTGGTTCTGCCTCCACATTATGTCTCTAATCTGTCTGCCTTTCCCTCTGACTCTGCCACCACTGTGCACCACGTCACAGACCCCCACCAGGACCCTGCCTCCTGACCATCCCCCTCCCTCCTTTCGGCTCCTTCCAATATGTTCTCCACACCCCAGTCAGAGCAATATCTCCCAAACATAAACCCTGGCATCCTCCCCACTTAAAACCCTTCAATAGCTTCTCGCCTCTGGAGTTTTCTCATCTCACAGCCCTGTGTGATCCTGCCCCTGCTGTCCTGCCTCTCACGTGGTCATTCTCACATATACATCAGCCACACAGCCTCCTTTCTGTCTTATCATCCCCCACCCTCTTCCCTGCTTTGGGCCTTTGCAGGTCCTATTGCTTGTGTTGCCTCAACCAGCCCAGACCTTCCCATGGCTGATTATCTACATCCTTCATGCCTCTGCTGAAATGTTATTTATTCCTCAGACTTTCCTTGAACGCCATCTGAAGTGACTTCCCAGTCACGGCAGCCATCTTTATTTCCTTATCATATTCCTCATCATATTTCCTCATTCCTTGCCATAACCTATCATGACTCCCTTGACCTGTTGCACTACCATATAGTCTGTCTTCCCACCTAGAAAGTAAGTGCCACGAGGGCAAAACACCCATGCCCCTCATGTATCATCAGATCCCTAATGCCCAACACATGCAGACACTAAGCGAACATGTTTCCCTTTGCTAGTCACAATGTATATTGTTTAGATTATTTTCAGAAAAGTTCAGATTGTACCACAAGGTGTTTGTACTGGATAATAGAAGTGCACTCTGAATTCAATGACTTTTTTTTTTCTTGCATATACCTCAAATGATACAAATATTTGGACAACTAGCTGTAAGTCAATGAAAACAAGATGTTTGCAGTTTTTCAAATTCTCTCCCTTGTCAGCCACCCTTTGCCAACAGAGACAGGTGTTTCCAGATGGTTGCCGTGGTGATCTCAAAGCTGTTTCCTCTCCTTTTCATTTTATCTTTGGAACAGGAGAGTGACAGATTCAGGAGGCAGAGAGTCTGAGGTTTGGTGAGGATCTTTGTAAAGCTTGACGTGGCGCCATCATCTGGTGTTTCTGGAATAAAAGTTTAACCATCAGGCTCATAGAGTTGTCAGGACAGGTCCCCATGCCTGGCAAGATCCAGTGCAACGTGGGTGCTCACTGTGGGGTTTCCTTGACCAGGGACACTTGTTACTCCCCCATGCACTATGACATTGTCATCCCCTTGGTTTTGAAGCCCTTCTCAGAAAAACAACCCCTTTTTGAACCCAAGCAGCTTCAGCATTCCAGGGGATAACTCTCAAAAATGACCAAGAAATTAGGTTTTCCTCCTGGAATTTATTTTTCTTTTTAATGTTTATTTATTTTTGAGAGAGAGAGAGAACATGAGCAGGGGAAGAGCAGAGAAAGAGGGACAGGGGATCCAAAGCAGGCTCCATGCTGACAGCACAGAGCCCAATGCAGGGCTCGAACCCACGAACTGTGAGATCATGACCTGAGCCAAAGTCTGACACGTAACCGACTGAACCACCCAGGTGGCCCTCCTCCTGGAATTTCTTAGGAGAATGCTAGGGTTTCCCTTGGAAAAGACTATGTATTCAGGTCTGGGGGACTCAATCCTTCTGTAGGAAAAATGTAAATGGCCCAGTAAATCAAAGGGTCCCTTGGTAGACAGACCCTAGTCAAGCCGAAACAAAACTCCTTTCCATCAGAGTGATGAGGATGTGGATCAGGACACTACCAGGGCTGTCCGGGTACCCACCCAGTGACTAACACTTCCATAAAATCCAACACATAGAAATTATGTGCACAGACACATAGGTTGGCCTAAATGAAGCTCAGGAAAAAGGAGTATCCCTGCAGTCTCCAACAGGCTCCTCCCTGCTCCTTCCAAAGTCTCTCTCCATTCAGAATGTTCTCTTCTCTTTAGCTTATGTTCTCCTTCGGTTTTATTTATTTATTCCCTCTCTCCCTTCCTCTACCCATCATTCCTCTTTTCCTTTTCACTTTCTACATTTTCCCATTCCCAAGTTTCAGATGATTGTCCACTTCTGACTTTGACCCCATTGTTGATGTAGAAATGTTCACTGAAGGCCCACTAGGGACAGCGAGCTCCTCCAGGGACTGAGTTTCCACTGAGTCTTTAGATTGCCAAGTACCCTTAACAAATGCACTCTCAAACCACTCACCCAGGATCCTTGCAAACTAGCTGTTCTTTAGAAGTTTCAGAGGTCTCTGGGTGCTCACTTCAAGCTTAATTCTATGTGTGCCAATCGCACGTGCAACAATCCTTCAGCTAATGATACACATCAGCAACTGGCTTTCTGGCCACTGAGGTTAGTTTTAATATGCCAGTGGATGGCTATAAAATGGCAATTCTGGAAGTTCCATCCAAGGATTGCTATGTATTAACACGTTATTAAAACAGTATATTGCAAGGTCAACATACTATTGTAATTGTTGACCTATCAAATATGGAAAAATTTTGAAACTTCAGTGGAAGCCCAATGCTGTTTTATTAAATTGGAATACAGTACAGGGAAGACAGAGTATTGCAAATGTTCAACAATATTGGTTTGATGTGTTCATGATTTTTTCCAATGTTGTTTTTTATAAAATAATTATATGATATATCCACATATATTATATTAGACTTCATTTCTATTCTGTAAGCACCTAGTAGACATACGTGCATAAATACAATGTTTACATGTGAAGTGTGGCCACACAGTTGGTTAACTTGAGACAGTCTGTTGTGGCTTAGGAAATGGCCCTAGAGCAATTTCAGCAGGATCCCTGTGTCCTCTGGAGCAGTGGCCACATCACTCAGGACAGAGGCTTCCAAGGCAGAAACAACACCCATCTCAATGTACAGATCATGAAATATAAAATTTATTTATATCATGACTTCTATGCTAAATGACCATTTTACAGTGTAAGTCAATAAACTTTTATGGAGCAGTGTGATAGCTGTAGGGTGGAAGAAAGGATACACAGTCCCCTGTCCTTGGAGAATCATAACAATATTTTGTTGTACCCTTCTGTTGGCAAATAGTGGCTCTGCCCAAATGTGGAAAAATATTTAAGTCAGTTCAAAACTAATAGGGCTGTTGGCTCAGCATTTAGGATAAACAAACCTCTGCCCAAGAAGAAATCAGATTGCTGTCTTTCGGATGGCTGTAATTCAGTGAAGCCAAGTTCTCAAAGTTTGAGTGCCTCCCTTGTAAGCCCCATCAAATAAATTCTGCACCTCCAATATTGCACTCATGACAAATGTCACTTCATAATGACATTACCTGTGCTTTTCAAGTTGTTGACAGGTCAAACCACACTGGATAGTCCTGTGGGGTTTTATCTGTCTAGACCACACTGCCTGGCCATGGCAGATGGACATATCTCTCTGCACACAACCAGTTGCAGATGTGAGCTAGACTCCTACATGGCTATTTTAGGATGCCAAAAGAGAGAAATCAAGGAATAACATACATTTTTAAAGGAACTGGAAGTCATGAAACAAAATCAAGAGGATAGGAAAAAGAGCCAACAAGAAAACTCATAATTGACAAGCAGAATGAAAAAGTGAAAAACACTGGATAAACTCTAGAGAAGAAGGAATCAGAATATTCATGGTTGGAAGGTAGGATTGAAGAATTTCACATAGAAGACTACATTGAGAAATGAAGTTTTTCTGGATTTTTTGGTTTGTTTTGTTTTTTTAATGAACATGTCATTAAGAAAGAGTGAAAACAGTTTGAGAGGTATCAACTTTTGTCTGATAGGCGCTCCCAAGATGAGAATGGAAGAAATGGCAGAGGAGCCATCTTTGAAGAGATACTCAGGATGGCCAAGAATTGAAGAAAGACATGAGTTTTTATATCAAAAGGCACTGCAAATAGTGAACAAAATAAATAGAAATCGATCTGTACCTCACACATAGTAGTGAAACGGCAGAAATCATGGATGAAGAGCAAATCTTGGAAGTGGCCAAAGAGAAAAGCCAGGTAACCCCTGTGGAATAACAGCCAACTGATGGCAGATGTGAGAAGGAAATTGAATAATATCTTCAAAGGCTGAGAGCCCCGATACCTACTTCTGCTTAGAAGTGTCCCATGGAACATACAGTGGGAAGCTCATCTTTGCCCTTCTCCAGAGTCTCCTACAATGGGCAGGAGTCAATTCTCACATTCATGGTCCCTCTCCAAGCCTACTCATCACAATGAGTGACCCCACCATCCACCCCTTCTTGCAAAAGCCAGAAACCTGAGAACCAGCCCATAGACAGAATATCCCCAAGTCCTGTCATTTTCTGTCTTAAATTCCTTTCAGTCTGTCCTTCTTCCCCACCCCCCCCCCCCAGTGGACACTGTTCTGGTTCAGGCCCATTCCAGTTGCCTCCCCACTAGCTTTGCCACCTCTGGCCACCATACTAATACCAAAATGACCCTTTGAGGTCTAATTGGTACTCTCTTTACTGCTTCGCTGCTCAAATCTCATCCCTGGCTCACTCTCAAGGCAACATGCTGCCCCTCCAGCCCTGTCCTTCCATCTCCTTCCATTCTCCTCCTGCCCATGCTTGCCTATGGACAGCAAAGTCTCAAAGCCAGGAATCTGCAAACTATGGCCCATCAGCCAATTCCTTCCCACCGCCTATTGTTAAAGTTTTATTGGAACAAGCACACCCACCTGTTTATGTATTGTCTATGGCAGCTCGATCACTACAAAGATAGAGCTGAGTAGTTGAACAGATCTCCTCCCAGGGCTAGCCAATTCCTAGATGCTTGGTCGTCTGGATATCCCAGGATAGACTATCCAAGAGTGTGCTTTCCACACACAAACCAACAAATCCCCAACTACTCCACCACACACCCAATCACCTTTGTGAGGCTCTCACTTTCATACTCCAGGCCACTCTCCCATGCCCTAATCACCAAAGGACCAGGTATTGAACAACCAGGGACAGCCCCAATGCTCCAGAGCCCACTGGTATCATTCAAACTAGGCAATCTTAATTCTGCTTACCCTGCCTTGCTCATTTCTTCCTGCAGAAACCACGGTAAAGACTTTTTGCCTACATCCACCCCCTAACACTTCCTCATGTGGCCCTGCACCCTCCTTTTGAGAACTGTAACAACCTCTCTTTTTGTCTCTTGGTCTGCTGGTCTTGCTCTACTTTAAATATTCCGTTAATACGTTATATCAGGAGGATTCAGGCAGGACCCACATGTGGATACTCTAGGGCCTGTTTGGGTGGGTTCCCTGGGAGGGGAGCAGATGGGTCAATAGGTTGTGTTTAAGCAGATGGTCAACAGCCATTTACCACCCTGCCATGTTCATCCCACCCACTCTCAGCTGACCCATAGCCTGTTCTTCCTTCTTAAGTTGGGAAATCATCCTGACTCTCTTTGAAAAGAGAAAACACTAATAAATCAAACTCCAAAATATATATTCTTATCTTACTATCATGCAGGCTTCCTGGGGTCTTTCGAACCTTTGGTCTACCCACCCTGGACCCCAGCCTTCGGTAAGCCTACAATGCACATTACCTTCCCAGAACTAAAAACCGCTCCCACAGAGGCCTGGAGGAATGCTGGCTACAGGTTCTAGGTCCTGAGGCAGATTTATGGGTGAAATCACTTCAAGATGAGGTCCTATTTGGCTTTGAGTAATTCAGAGTAACCAGGGCCATCCGTCAGCACAGACTGGGCACGGCTGTGTTCAGCACCAGGAAGGCTGAAGCCAGGGAGGTGCTCTTGTCTTTGCCTCTCGCAGTGACAAGAACACAGAGTGACTTGCTCTGCTTAACAGAGCCCAGGAAAACCTCATAGAGAGGGTATTTGAAGGAAGAGTTAGGAGGGGCGCCTGGGTGGCGCAGTCGGTTAAGCGTCCGACTTCAGCCAGGTCACGATCTCGCGGTCCGTGAGTTCGAGTCCCGCGTCGGGCTCTGGGCTGATGGCTCAGAGCCTGGAGCCTGTTTCCGATTCTGTGTCTCCCTCTCTCTCTGCCCCTCCCCTGTTCATGCTCTGTCTCTCTCTGTCCCAAAAATAAATAAACGTTGGAAAAAAAAAAAAATTTGA